GAGAAGTGTCTGTTCATGTCTTCTGCCCATTTTTTGATTTGATTATTTGTTTTTTGGGTGTAAGCTTTGTTTTTTAGAATAGTTTTAGACTTACAGAAAAATTAAAAAGACAGTACAGAGTTCCATATACACCATGTCCAGTTTCTTCTGTTATTAACATCTGACAGTAGTAAGCAATTTACAAGTTGTACATTTGGTACAATTAATGAATCAGTACTGATGTTTTTAACTTTGAATGTGGTTATGATTTTACTATGAATTTAGGTAAATTTCCACATATACTCCTACTTCGTCCTCTCTCAGCAAAGCTTTAAAATTTTGGATTATTTTGTTATATTGTCTGCCATACAAAATATTTCTAGCCAAAGCCTAAGAAAAAAAATAATAGAAAATAAGACCAAGGCCCTTTGCAGAATATTATTTATGTTCCTCATGAACACTGCTCACTACATACATACTAATTGACCTTTTTTAAAAAGACTGTGAAAAAAATAGCACCAATTTGAAGGTAATACATGTATTTAAATAGAACTTAACCAAAGCAGTAAAGCCCTATAGAGCACATTTCCTTTCTCTCTTAGTTGGGTTAATTCTCTGCTCGGCCAATGAGAGAAGGACTCTCTGATAAATAGGTACCCATTAGACTTCTCTCTCATTACCAACTCATGTATTTTTTCATTCTTGCCAAAAATTGTGTTGTTTCAAGAAGCAAAAAGCTTTCTCAGAATAAGGAAAAAGTGTCATTCATTTTGCCCTTGGGTAAGCTCAATCTCAGATATACGTATAACAGTTAAAATTGAGACTTGTGCTGTAAATTTGCAGTTTATTAAAATCTACCTTCATGGCCTTTAAAAGTTTTAGAAAAATGTCAAATATCTTTAAAAACATTAAAGTATATTGCTTGTAAACAAGTAAACCTTATTAAACGTTAGCCATGTTTCCCATGGCTCATTTGTCACAGTGGAGAGTAAATACAATAACATTTCACTTTGCAATTTTTTCCCCATAGGTTTATTTATGTTTACCCAACTTCCGATCTCTCACCGAGGGGCACTGCCTAATAGTCCCTTTGCAGCATCACAGAGCGGCTACCTTACTGGATGAAGACGTCTGGGAGGAAATTCAGGTCAGCGTGCTCATGCTCATTCTTGTAATGCTCATGAGCAATCTTACAGACTATCATTACAAATTCCAATGGGTTTTTATACCTTTGTCCAGTGATCTTACTTTCTGAACTTACACATTTGTTCACATTTCCCTAGTTGTGTATACCTGTGAATCATGGTGTTTTCACCACTCACTACCTTTTAATTTTATTTCCCTGATGTACTCCATGTTTTGAAAGCTTTTCTAGAAATTTTTTTTTATTGAGATTAATTGATGTATAACATATTAGTTTCAGGTGTACAACTGAAAGTTTTTGTGTACTCAATAAACTATGACAAAGTAATAATTATTTTTACTTAAAAATATCAATGTAAGATTTCTAATCCATGCTTTTGTGAAACATGAGATGATGATTCTTAACACAGGAAGCTAATAGATTATAGCCAAAAGGAAAGATATTTTCAGATAATAAAAATAAATTTTGGAAGTTAGAGGTTCATATCCAGCAGTTGCCATATTTTCCTATGATGGAATTGGCCTCTGTTGTTGTGATTTTGCTTTTATTTCTACACTATTCCCTTTATAACCTGGCTCAGCTTTTGAATTCAAGGATTTTGTGTGTGAGTGTGTGTGTGGCTGATTCGGTAAGAAACTGAAAGGCACAACATGGTTGAAATTGCTCCTGAATTATCTCAAGACCTCATAATGACCAAAAAAGAAAAGAAAGAAAGCTCTTGTTTTTCTAATACTTGACAATTGAATAGGGGTTACAGGGACCCCTAGTTAGAAAATGTGAAAATTGTAAGGCTTCAGAAGAGACTGTGTACTTAGTCTTGTATCATGCTGACAAAGATGCTGAAAGAGATATTTTGACTGCATATTATGAAATTCACTCTCTTACTCCTTGTAATCTTTTAAGTTTATGCTGTGAAAGGTAAAGGGTACACTGTTTTAATGCATCTGTGGCCGAGTAGGGGCAAGAATGTGGACAAAAATATTTGATGTGAAAAAAATTTTTTTCTAGTAGTGGATGCCAGTGCAGCAATTTATTTATTTATTTATTTATTTATTTATTTTTAAGATTTTATTTTTTTGACAGAGAGAGACACAGCGAGAGAGGGAACACAAGCAGGGGGAGTGGGAGAGGGAGAAGCAGGCTTCCCGCTGAGCAGGGAGCCCGATGTGGGGTTTGATCCCAGGACCCTGGGACCATGACCTGAGCCGAAGGCAGACGCTTAACGACTGAGCCACCCAGGCGCCCCACAGTAAATAATTTAAAGTGGAAAGTATGCAAATTTGGTTTTCAGAATTATTTTGAGGCTTTTTTGGAATGTCTTTAAAAAATTTATACATGCAAAACTGATTTAACTTAGAGCAAAATACAGTGCCAAAAAGATTTTAAGTAAGACAGGAACCTAGTCTGTGTGTTTTATATTTCTGTAAGAAATTAAGCTACTTGATGGAAAACATTGAGGTGGATAAAGAAGAAATTCAGTTTAGTAGATATTGAGTACATGAATATAAGATAATCCAGGTGTTATGAGAAATTCAGAGATAAAATCATTGTTTCTGCCCAAAGGTATGGTATATTCTCATATAGGTTACATTATAATTTAGTGGATTTTGTGAGCCATTTACATTATGGAAAACTGAATGAGGGATAAAAGCCAAGTTATTTAATACAAATAATAGCATTATGGCTCTTTTCTTATGATAAAAGAAGAAATTCTTACAAGTTATAAATTAGTATAAGATGATGAACAAATAAAGTATCTGATTTTAGCTTATTTAAGGAAATAAAGCTTTGGGGATTTTTGTTTTATTTTCAAATATGTACAAAAATTCAAACTGGGGCACCTGGCTGGCTCAGTCAGTGGAGTGTATGACTCTTGATCTTGGGGTTTTGAGTTCAAGCCCCACATTGGGTGTAGAGATTACTTCAAAATATCTTTAAAACAATTTTCAAATTAATTATACCTGTTAAATATCCTTATGGTTATTCGCCCCTTCTAGAGAGTATATAACAAAAATTATTTGACTTAGGAAAAAATAGTGTTTACAAATGAAGGAGCCACTTCTTTTAAGTGATTTTTATCTCCATCCTCTAGTAACATTTAAATTTAATTTTAGATCTTATTTAATAGAAAATGCAAGATAAGTTTCAGCACAGTTATGTGGGAATAATCACAGATTTTGACTGAATAAGAGCCAAATTTTTAGTTTCATTAAATATATATAGTGAAACTTAGGTCCCCTTTAAAGTTATTCTTATCAGTTTGACAGGTATGTTTGAGCTTATGTTATAGTCAGACACCTAGGTCCATTTTTTAAGTATCCCAGATGAGCGGTGTGGTGGTGAGGTCATTATGTACAGTGGGCTTCACTGCTGAGTGGTGTGATGGGGCCGTTTCACTGGGAAACCTCCAGAATTGGACTGTTAGGTCTTTTTCATGGGGCGATCAGACTCTTCGGAGACCACTGTGTCTCTTACCAAGTGCATCTAAGACAGCTTGCTAGTGTCCTGGCAGCTGAGTTGGGGAAGAAGGCTGGGGTGGTAGAATTTGAACCCTAAGTATCTCCTGTAATGCCCCTGTTTTCAGACTGTATACTCTCAGCTGTGTCTGATTTTCCCAGCCCAGCAGCCTTATTGTGTACCTTCTCCAAAGAAGAATCATGTAGTGTTCTGCCAGTGTCCAGGAGGGTATCGGCGTGTTAATTGCTTTTTTTCAAAGACTTTGATTCATGCCATTTGCCTTTTTGCTACACCTTCACTCTCCTTCTGTAACAACTTGGTGCTGCCAATTCATGAGCCTTCTGAGGATTCTGCAGTGCAGCGTGGCTTCCTTCGTACACTCTCCCTGCTAACCAACCCCCACGCCACACACCACCCAGGTGTGAACCAGCTTTCCAGTGTTTAAGTCAGATATTAGGGGGTGATCTGATTTTCGGTGAATCTTCTCTCATTCTTTCTGTTCTCTTAAGTTTGGACTGTTTTAAAAATTACTTTAATTACTCTAATTACTGTTTTAAAAATTACTTTAGTAATTGTAAAAATTATTTTTGAGTGGTCGCTCCACGAAGGGTATAGAGTTAAATATATATGTTGTATTCTATCTCATAATATTTATCTTGGGATAACTTTATCTTTAGACATGTTCTGTTTAGAAAACTTGAATAAATTATAGTATTTGTATTACATGATCAATCCTAAATAGCTTTGATAGTTTCAAGTAAAATACTTTAATTTTCATTTCAAAATTTTGTACTTAACATTTACCTGAATTGTTGTAATGTGACTTTATACAAATTAAGAATTGCAACACTTGGGGCACCTGGGTGGCTCAGTGGGTTAAGCGTCTGCCTTCAGCTCAGGTCATGATCCCAGGGTCCTGGGATTGAGCCCCGCATTGGGCTCCCTGCTCAGTGGGGAGCCTGCTTCTCTCTCCCTCTGACTTTCCCCCCTGCTTTTGCTCTCGCTCTTTCTCAAATAAATAAAATCTAAAAGAAAAAAAAAAAAAGAATTGCAACACTCTGTAGTATAGCTTACTTAGATATATTGTAAGATATTTTAGTCCAGATGTGTTTAACTAAATGAGGAATGGCACTTGGGTGAATAGTCATAGTTTAGAAATGTGGAAAATAGTGATTACCCAATGGATGAAGTTTTTTCTACTAGAAATATGGGAATTTTATGTCATCCCCATAATGTGGGGTATCTCTATCTCTCTGAAGCATAAAATAGTTTTCGTATCTTATAATAATGAACTAAAAGACTTTCTTCGATGTTTGGTTGTCATATAACTTAAAGAATGAATATTATTTCAATATGTATAGTGTATGTGTTATATTGAGCTTTGGGAAAATTCTGCGTTAGTGGAGTGGATAACCTTAAATTATGTCATTAAACTCATATTTTTAAATTAAAGGCTTTTATATGCAGAGAGGAGAAGTACTTCAATGTGTGTGCGTGTCCTCCTCAAAACTATTTGTATCATGTTTATATATAATATTGAGCAATTCCTATATCACTGCTAATTTAGGTCTTTTGAGTTTTCATTTTTAATTCATGACCTCTGGAGTCTGTATTCTTCACTGTTGTCCAGAGAGTATCTAGAATGAGCATCCAAACAGTTAAAGCAGGAAAGGGCTGTGAGCAAACATGAAGTGTCAGGTCTGTTAGGTATGTTCGGATTAGCTAAATTTACATTGTTGTTGCTGGTACTGCTTTTTATCCACTTTCTACCTTTTGGATTCAGAAAAGCTTAGTTTTCAAATATATAGTTCTATCCTAGTAGTAATTTTCCTTTTCCTTTTTTTTTTTTTTTTAAATTTTGTTTATTTGAGAGAGAGCAAGCACACATGATTGGGGGGAAGGGTAGAGGGAGAAGCCGACTTCCCCCAGAGCAGGGAGCCCAATGACGGGCTTGAGACTATGACCTGAGCTGAAGGCAGACGCTTAACTGACTGAGCCACCCAGGCATCCCAAAAGTTAATTTATGTCATATTGCAGTGTGGGTTGGGCAGTTCTCCAGGGCAGATTGTCTCTAGACATAAAATCAGGTATCCAGGCTCCTTCCATTACAAGGCTCTCCTGTAGTGGAGGTCTTCTCTTTCAGCCCCTTGGATGAAAGAAACTGAATACAAACAGGCACACTACCCCTTAACTGTTTACTTGTCACACAAGTGGTACTGTCATTTCTATATGCATTCCATTGCCCAGAATTAAGTATGTCCCCACCTAAGTCCCTGAGAGGCTGGAAAATTTAGTCTTCTTTTTGCTCAGCAAGAGGAAAGTGAAACAGTTTAATGGAAACAGCTTTTTTGGGGAGGGGGTTTTTTATCTGCAGAAATCAGATTAGGGCCTTGGCAACTGCAAATTTTGATCAGTTTTACCAGGTGGATATCTATGCCTGCCAGTAGTTTATATTTTATTATTATTTTTAAAGATTTTCTTTATTTATTTGACCAAGAGAGACAGTGAGAGGGGGAACACAAACAGGGGGAGTGGGAGAGGGAGAAGCAGGCTTCCCACTGAGCAGGGTGCCCAGTGCGGGGCTTGATCCCAGGACTCTGGGATCATGACCTGAGCCAAAGGCAGATGCCAAACGACTGAGCCACCCAGGCGCCCCTCTGTCTTGTTATTTTTTATCATAACTTAAGCTCAATTGTGTGTGCACTATCTCCATTAATTTGATTTTATATAGTACCAAAGTCAGAGAATTTTTAAAAGGGGAAACAATCATCTTTAATCATCTATAATGATTTATCTTACAGTCACCTTGTAATGAGATTATAGGTGGAAAGTCTGCAGCCCCGCAGGCTATTAGCCAAGACTTAGAGTTTAACAACAAATGAGTGTCTAAAGAGACTGTGTTGAATTTCTCTGTAGCTGTGGTCAGAAATGAAAAGCAAATCCTGTATCCATCGCTTACTAGGTATCTTTCTAGTTGGCATCAAGTTACAATTACTTGATTTCTTGTTTTTTTCTACTTGTCTTATTTTATAAAATGAATACAAAACAGAAAAGCAATGAGTGATCAATAATAAGTGATTATCAGAGACCTGGTGGAATCCCAGAACTCCCATCCCCTATGCAGCCATAAACCGTAGCCTCTCCCAGTTCCTGGTGTCAGTGGAGGCTGAGTGGGGAGCCTGCACACCCATCTCCCCGTGGCCGTGCCTGGGCAGTGTCTGAATGACAACCTGGTTGAATCTCCTGGGGTGTCATGCTGAGTGAAGAGCAGGAACTTCAAAAGATGATGTGATTGCATTTATATAATGTTCTGGAAATGCTAGGATTACAGAAAGGGAGAGCACACTGGAGGATGCTGCTGTGGAGGGAGTGAGCATGGCTGTGAGCAGGCAGCAGGAGGGATCCTCACGGGGCTCGAGTTGCTGTGTATCTCAACTGTATCCATGTCAGTATCCTGGTCATGCTATTGGACTGTGGTTTTGTAACACTTTACCATTGGGGGAAACTGGGTTAAAGGTATATGGGACCTCTCTGTATTTTCTTCATGTGATCTACAATCATAATTTAAAAATTTAATTAAAATATTTAGAAGTTATAAATCAGCTGACAAGTCTAAGTAAAAAATGCTTATTCCTCCTGCTTAGACAAATATCCTAGCACTTTACAAACATACGACACTCTACAAGGCCATGTTTGAATTTAGGATTCTTAGACACCTTGGTGGTGGTGGGGAGTTGGCTTCTGGCTCCCAGTCTTCAGCCTGGTCCCCTGTCTTGCAACCCCTGGCTTCATCCTGCTCTACACGGGCTGTCCCATGAGTATATGTGGACATTCTGGACTGCATGTCTGAGCTCCACAAACAACTGTCCCTCAGGCTTAGGCATGTGAAATAAATCAGGAAATAAACAAGTAGAAGATAGTAAGAAGTAGGGGTTGTATAATAATGTTGAGTTCTTTGGGAAAAGGAAACACTCTTACTTTTCAACTTTAGCATGTTTGACTTTCATACACTTGCTAGGACACGATTCTCTGTGAAAATAGAGGACCGCTTGAATATGCAAGGTGACCAGTGAAGGGTCAGCAGACATACATGGGAACCAGCAGATGAAGATGCTGTGAGTGCAGGCAGGCAAATTGGCAGGAAATTCCGCGCCTACCTTCTAGGAGGACCTTTTTTGGCTTGTGGCTGTTTTCCTCTGATTTTACTGTCAGTTCTGCATATTTTACTACTTGAGTTTGATTTTTCTCTTTTCCTTTTCTTATTTTGGTTTATTGGAACCATTTCCAATATATACATAAAACTGTGCAGAGTAATTCCAATTTAGAAAAATGTTGCTTAAATATGTGAAATTATGTAGTAGATTTAGAAAGTAAAGTAAGCTAACAGTATAGAATTTAAACATTGTTTACTACTTATTTATTTTAAAGGGATTGAGTTTACCTTTTATTGTTTTCATGTTTTGTATTTTTTTCTAAGTGCTTTATTTACCCAGCCATGTTCCTTTCTTCAGATGTTCCGAAAATCATTGGTAAAGATGTTTGAAGATAAAGGACTGGACTGCGTCTTTTTAGAAACACACATGGGCATGAAGAAGCATTGTCATATGGTTTATGAGTGCATCCCTCTCCCAAAGGAAGTGGGTGAGATGGCTCCCATCTATTTTAAGGTATTTGGGAATAGTCTTTGCATGCATACTTTTTTACTACCTTGCTGTTTTACGAATACGGTTATCTTTTTTCTTGTATTTTTTTTTTCTCCCTATATACTTAGATCAAACTTTATCTAAAGAAATGAAGTAAAGCACAAAAAAGATTCTGCTGTATTACAAATTTCTGTAAAGAGAAATTTGGGATTTTGACCTTTAAAAAGCATGCTTATTTATAAGTATGAATAAACTGTCAAATGGTCATTTATAATTTCTATTTTAATTTCTCATTTCTCAAATGAAATTCAGGGTTTTACCTTGAAGTACTTTCAAGTCGAAATTATAGTCCTAATTCTAAAAAACCTGCTGAAATTCACAAGACCCAGTGATAGTTATATACGGACAGTACAGGTTACAGTTGCTGAGATAAGTAACTGCTCTTTTAGTATTTAATACCTCATCATGCTATTTGTACGAAGAAACCAGTGTCTAACCTTGACATACATTTTTGGACATATAATTACCAGAGTTTTTAATCAGTTAAGTGTCATTGTAACATTCAGACAGCTTTTAAAAACTGAATAGGGGGCGCCTGGGTGGCTCAGTCGTTAAGCGTCTGCCTTCAGCTCAGGTCATGATCCCAGGGTCCTGGGATCGAGTCCCACATCGAGCTCCCCGCTCAGCGGGAAGCCTGCTTCTCCCTCTCCCGCTCCCCCTGCTTGTGTTCCTGCTCTCGCTGTCTCTCTCTGTCAGATAAATAAATAAAATCTTTAAAAAAAAAAAAAAAAAACCTGAATAGGGTCGTTTGATACTGAGCTGAATGCAGTATACAGTGTACTCATAGACTAAGGTAAATGCTTACGTGTGGAACCACGTATGAATTAGTAACATGTGCAGTGAACAAAGGAGGTCATGTTTGGGAAGTGGTATAGGACTTTCCAATGCAACATTTAAACAATATAGGATGGTCAAGTTCATGAATGTGGACTTATCCCAATAAGAAGGATTATTAGACCTGTTAAGGGTAATGAGGTGGTGAAAATCTACTTTCTCTGTAGAGATTTTTCTTTTAAGATTTATTTATTTATTTGAGAGAGGGAGAGCGCGACCATGCATGAGAGGGGGAGGGACACCGGGAGAGGGAGAAAGAATTGTCAAACAGACTCCCTGCTGAGCACGGAGCCTGACATGGGGCTTGATCCCAGGACCTGAGCTGCGATCAAGAGTCAGACACTTAACTGACTGAGGCACCCAGGTTCCCCTCTCTAGAGATTTTTCAAAACAACTATTTGATTTTAAGGATTATACTATTAAAGTAGGAGAGTGAACCAGAGAGTCCCCAAACCCATGCTAGTTCCGTGTTAAACAGAATCAGGTGGGACAGAGGTTATTTTACTTTTCTTCAATTTTTTTTTTTTTGGTACTTACTCAGTAGAGTCTTAGGTGATTGTGACTGTTGGCACTGAGGCAGTAGGGTAGAACGGGCGCAGCCGCTGTCCCCCATGTTGGGTGACAGAGCTGTCATCATTAGGTAGGGTGCTGTCTCACTTCTACACTGAACCTCTTACATGATCAGTAAAGATACATTTATTGGCATCAGTTTTATATTGAATGTGCTACCTTATAGTGTCAACACAAGCAACATCCCGTGCCTTTTAAATATGGAACAGCAGTATATCTGATGTTTTTAAACAGTGCTTATTTGAATGTTAATTTTATGTTTAAAGTTTGCTTCATTAATAATGATAAATGTACAAAAATGAGAGTATTTTATACTCATAATCCTGGCTTTTCTATTAAATATTTCTTCACCGTAAATACTAGTTTTCTTGCTTAGCCTAGAAAGTCTTATAATGCCACTTCTGTGTATTTTTTTTTTCCCCTGCATTTTTACTTCTTTGTTATAGGGCCAGAGATAGTTCAAGTGCTTGGTTGCCAGAGAACATATAAATTACTCTTGATTTTGGAAAAGGGCAGTGAAACTAAACAAGTTTATTTGAGTAGGTTTTTATGAATGAGATAAGGAAGTTGTGAACTTTTTTATTTGCAAACTTATGTTTAATGTTAAATTGCTTAGTCTTATAAAGGATTGTGTTTGTCATGTAAAGTTGGTCTTGAAGTTAGTACAAGAATTAAGAATGAGTAAAATAATATCTTGGCTAAAGATAGGACTTTAAAAAAAATCAAGAAGGTCCAATTTTAAATAACAGAAATTAAAGCCTCAACCCATTCAAAATAATGAACTACCATGTGTAAATATGTCCTGTGATTAATTCATTATATTACTTTATTTTTAATCTCTTTGTATTTGCTTATAAACTATTTTTTCATTAATAAATGGCTATTTCTTAGAAAGCCATAATGGAATCTGATGAAGAATGGTCCATGAACAAGAAATTGATTGATCTCTCTTCAAAAGATATCAGAAAATCTGTAAGTATTCCCCCCCCTCCCAATATAAGAAATGATCCTGGTGTTTAGGATCTTCATTACTTTTCACATCTTACTTGAGAAAGAGACCATTTGGCTGAGTGATCAAAGGTCACTTTGATGGCAGGATCACCCTCAGCTGGAGGGGCTCCTGTCATGGACTTCGCAGCCTCCGTGAGAGGGGCCTTCTGGTTACTTGAATTATAATGAGGGAAACGCTTTCCTACAGGCTCCTCTTCAGTTTTTTTTTTCCTTATACAGAGACTCCCTGTTAGGTTCCTTTAAAACAGTGGTTCAGTTAGATTATGGCTTCATTATTCTTTGGTGGAGTTTTCTAACTGTGTTTCACAGTTAGTCTTGATTTGCAGATCATCTCTTAGATACGCAACGCATGAGTTGAGTACTCCTGCAATGACCTCTTTCCTAGAAATAGAAATTCGATAGAATAGAGATAGAACAGAACTGTGGATTCCTTTTTGTTCTTCTATTCATAAAGTTATTTATTGTATGGTTGCTTGGTGAGTGACAGCTAGGAACAGAACAGAGAGGACTGTGGACCTGGGGGCTTCTGGTCCACGGCAGGGGTGGGGCACTCCAGCCTGTGCTAAATCGTCCTGCTGCCAAGCGTGTAAATGACGTTGTGTTGGAACACAGCTACACCATTTTGTTATGTGTTGTTTTTGGAGGCTTTCATGCCACAAGGGCGGAGCTGAGAATTTGCACCAGAGACCATATACTCTACAAAGTCCAGAATATTTTATTTAAATTAAAACTTTTGTAAGTTTTTTTTTAATACGCTGACCCTTGTTCTAGTAGATGACACTAGCCTATTTTTCTGTTTCTTCTTTTGGAAAGCCAAACTCCTGATAAAATGACTTGCAGGATTTCTCATTACATTTATTGTGTCTTAGTCAAAAGATTGAAATTTCATTGCATTACTAAAGATAGTTTTAATGCAAAGGCAAAACATTGTCTACAGTCTTCTCTTTACTTGCTGGTCAATTGGGCCAGACAATACATTTTAAAAACAAAACAAAAACCACCCGCACAAACATCCTCCTTGTTTCTGTCTTCTGTGAGTCTGTAGAGACAGGTATCTAATGCAGGCACGTCTGTTGTGTCTGAGCTTTCCACTTCTCATATCATAATTTCCAATGCCATTAAATATTCTTTTATAACCTGACATTAATGGCATTTGAAAATATTTCCAAGTAGAAATTGTAAAAGAAATGTGTTATCCTCCATTTCCTACCCTGTATATGCAGTTTTCTTGCCGGTAAACCGTCTAGTACCTATTGTATGTCTGTTTTTAAAATGTGCACAATACTTGAGTATAAATACCTTGAGGGCTTTAATATTAACTTAACCAATATGGAAAATGAGAAACCGATCTCTGTAGGAATGGTAGTTGTGTATTCTACTTCGCAGCATTGCAAAGATACCAACCATTGCCTTTTCTAAGTCACTGCCTAGTATCTGAGAGTCACAGCAGACAGGGAATGAGCCAGACGACCTCTTAGCTTTAGGATTCAATAATTATGTGGATGGAACTGTGAAGAGAACTTGAGTATTAGGAATAATTCCAGAGGAGGTCACTTTTTAAGTTAACAAGCTTTCCACTGTCTTTTTAAAATGATGAAAGTGTTTCTGAGCACAAAGTGAACAGTCTTGACTTACTATAATGTTATTTTTATTCTGGAAGAACCTCATTATACTTACTTTTCAAGCTCTGTGTCCTTGGTAGTTTCATAAAGTGTTGACCTGCTTCACGGGGTGGGGTGATTTTTTTTTTTTTTTTCCAAGTAGATCCTTGGCTTCTAGCAGAGATTTATGTAGTGGTAATTCATTCTGATTCTTTGTTGACTCATATTTTTTTGTGGTGAGGATAAACTTCTCTTTTTATGCCCATTTTGTTTCCTTTCTGGATCTTGATTTCTTTGCCTGTGTGAAGTCTGGGTGAAGGTCATGGAAATTTATGAGGGAGATCTGTATGTTCCTTGTAGAGCAGTTGCATGTTCCTAACCTAACTTGTCAAAAAGAGTGTTCATTTTTCACAGGGCTATTTTATCGAGATTTCATATGAATTCTTCCTGAACTTTTAAATAGTATGATTTTAGTTTAATTTTGTAATAACTATAATTGGAAAAGCACATTTAGGGATTTTTAAAACTGAGGAAGGTTCATGTCAAGGGAAATTTGGGTTTACCCAGAGACATTCAAACTCAAGGACAATTACAGGAAGTCAGGAGTAATATCTGGAGTATTAAAAGGGGAAAATTCAGATATTACTGGTTGGGTTTGTTTGTTTGTTTGTTTGTGTTTTACCGTCAATAAAATGTTTTGCCGTACTTCTGTCAATATCTTTCAAGAGTGAGAGCAAAGTTGTTAGTCCTCCGGCTGGTCAAGGCGGGCAAAGCAAAGGGGTAACGGCGTGTGTCTTGATGCTGGAGCCCTCCCGGGGCCTCCTGACTGACAGCCGTTCCAGCAGGACGGTCAGTGGTCCCCTCTGCAGCCTCGGTGAGAGAACAGAGTTGCTCGTGGCAGCCCCTGTCCCTCGTGTGCGAGTAGGGAGAGTCAGGCAGTTACCTCACAGGCTGTTGAGGCCCTTGGTGTGTACGTTCATTTCCTGCTGGTGATGTCACAAACGAACACAGATTTTTTATAATTCTGGAGGTCACAGATATGAAATGGGTTTCACTGGACTGAAATCAAGGGGTTCACAGGACTGCATTCCTTCTGGAAGCCACAGAGAAGAATCCGTGTCCATCCCTCCTCCAGCTTCTAGAAGCCACCTGCGTTCCGTGGCTTGTGGTTCCTTCCTTCATCTTCAGATCCAGCACTGTGGGATCTTACAGTCTTTCTCTGACACTGACTCTCCTAACTCTTTCTTATAAGTATTCTTGTGATTGCATTGGGCCCCCGTGGGCCCAGTTCATGATATCTCCTCATTTCAGTATCCATAAATTAATCGCATCTGTGAGGTCCCTCTTCTCAGTCAGGTAATATGTTCATGGCAAATGGGGGATTAGAACATTGACATATTTTAGGGCCATTATTCTGCCAAATACAGTACGATACGAGCAGAGGGCATGGGCAAAGTCATCACAAATTGTTTCTTCAAGTTCTCTCTCCCCAGAAGTACTTTCTGTTAGTTGGTGTGGTTCTGTAGCATTGTTTTAGCCATTCCCATTCATGATTCACATGTGATGATCTTCTTCAGATAACAGAAATAGCCTCAGGGAGCCATCCATTCTTTTCTCTTTGGCTACCATGTTTGCAGAAAGCACTGTTGTTTGGAAGACAGAAAAGACAGTAGTGTTTGAAGAACTCTCTCTGTGCCAAGCATTGGGCTAGACACCTGATGTGCATTTTCCTAGTTCATCCTCACAGTGAACCTCGTAGCTCTTCCCAGTTCTCATGAGATTCAGAGATGTTAAATTACTTGCCTGGGGTTACAGAGGTATAAGAAGCAGAGCTGTGGTCAAGGCCTTATCTGTCTCTTGACTTTGTTTTTTCCTGTCTAGGTCATACATGTTTATCATATTTTAAAAATGAAAAAATACAAAGGCACAAAACAGTTACCCACTTCTCTGTATTTTATGTTATATACTATTTTGTAAACTGATTTTTTTCTTATACTTTTCCTATAACATGAACAACTCTAAGTCCTAATCTTAACTGCTTTATATTATTTCATGACAACCACTGTCTTTCCACCATACCATACTGTCTCCTTCCAAGTCATGCCTTCTTGAGGACAATATAAAATACATATAGTTGAATAGACGTGTGATTCAGTGTCAAAACGAGTAAGTCCTGACTATATGCAGGAATCAGGACCCACTTGAATAATGTGTAGTGACAGATTATGGCTTGGAGGGAAAACTTGCAAGGACACAGATTGATAAAGCCAGAAATTATGGACTTTTCCAGTCAAGATAGAGTTCAAACTACGTGTGTGTGTGTGTGTGTGTGTGTGTGTGTGTGTGTAGAAAGGAGAGATGAAAAGATAATAGGTAATTTGAAATGAGGTTGGTAAACTAAGTATTGCTATACCCATCTCGCTAGTTAATAAAAAATTGTGATTGTCTGGGTTTAGTGTATCTTTGATAAATAAATAATAAAGTCTCAGATTATAAACAAAGCTCTATGTATATGGGTAGGCCTCTCCCTGTTCTGCTTTGTGAGGGAGATACAGGGAACCATATCCTTATTCTTTTTGTAATCTAAGGAAAAAATTAGTACCTTTTCTTTCCTGTTTTCCCCAAAGACAGGAAAATAGTGGTTTTGATTCTATTGCTGGATGTTATGAAGAGCTGAAAGGCTACCATGTGAAATGTTTTACTTTGAAAGTTAGGTCATTGCCTAAGTATTTCTAGAATTGGGAATTTATTATATACGTTTGTCTTGAAGGGGTGCTTAATTACTGTCATGTCTCAGAGCAGGAGAAGGAATTCAGCGGAACCTTCTGATTCCGGGCTGTGTTCATGTGTGATTTATCTGTTTATTTAGGTACCCAGAGGCTTACCTTACTTCGCTGTGGATTTTGGCCTCCAAGGAGGGTTTGCCCATGTCATTGAAGATCAACACAAATTCCCTCATTACTTTGGAAAGGTAGGCTCACAGGTTTAATAAAATTCCAGAGGTTAGCAATTTGGTAACACTTTTCTTTCAAAGGGAAATCAAAACTTGGGGCATCTTATAGAGTGAAGTTGGTGAGTACTGTTCCACCCAATTTTTAAAGGAAGAAGCTAGAAACTATTAATAAAAATATCCCAGAATATTCATAACAGTCAGGATTGTCACTCTGCAACCAAACATTTGCAGATGTGGTCAAGAGTGCTGGGAGTTGCTTTCCTGTCGAGCCAGCCAGCCTTGTGCCGGAAAGGGTGACGCCGTTGACCCTCAGAGTGAGCTGACAGTGAGCCACGTTCTGTTCGGAGCACTCCGTTCTGTAGATATGGTTACTCTGGTCATCTTACGGATGAAGAAGCTGAGCTTCAGACAGAACCAGGGGTACAGGCGCCTCTCGTTCGTGGGTGCAGTAGACCCCTTTGTGTATAGTGAAGCACTGTCCAGCGTGAGAAGAATATAAGACTCTATCGTTTCACACTGCTCCCGGGTTCCCGGGCAGGTGTCTGAGGGCTGGTCTAGACTGCCGGTACTTTGATCACTGCACATTGCCCCGTGGGGTACAGCCTGTACGTTTAGGGTCTACTGAAGTTTGTGTCAGGGGCTGGAATGAAATTAATACGACTGCTGAAATAGTAATACAGTCTGAGCAATAATAGTTCTAGAAGTGACCTTTTAATCGAGCATAGTTTGGGCCTTTCTGCTCATGTTTTCCATAAATTATTGTCTCTACTGGTTCCTTTGTTTGTTTCCCAGTGAAAAAGGTTCCCTTTTCCACGAAGCTTTTTCTGATTTATCCAAAAATAGAATCTTTTTTTTTTTTGAGTCTCTGTATAGTCAGCCTTGGCATTTACCTTATTCCGCTTTGTAAGATGGTTCTTTGTGTAGTTGGGTTATTCTTCCACAGCCCCACATTCTGTTATGAGTTCTCGGAAGGCACATAGATTTATGTCCGTTCTCTTTGTATCCGCTATGATATTTCGTACTTGCTTGGACACAGTTCAGTCCTCTTGGTAAAAAATGTTAAGATGTTGTCCGAGATCTCACCACACAGCCCTGTAGAAGCAGACGGAATATGCAGAATGTGACCCTGAGTCCAGTGTTTTCTTGTGTTGCCCTCTAAATGGTACCTGTCTTCCCCACATCCTTATGTACATGGACACTCGCAAGCTTAAGTTGTGTTAATTTCTGCTGCTAACACCACAGGAAGAGAATCATGAGGAAATCATGTAGGATAATAAGCAGACTAATCAAAATCCATTTCTTACAGGGCTTTGGAATGTGACTTTTAAATGAAGGTGATTTATAATTTTTAATTCTTAGTTTATTCGGATTAGTATTAAAATATGATTTTGTTTCCTGAAAAAAGATCTCCAGCGAATAGTGGAAGAATAGTGGCTTATAAATATATGGGGTAGTAGAGAGAACACGAGCCTGAGCTTGGCCTGCAGTCCAACAACAAAGTTCATAATTGCTAAATTTTGGTTAACCTTTTCTCCATATCATTTACCAGAACAGCTCAGAAGGACCAAAATAAGTAAAGTTCACCCTCTCTTTCTCCCCTTTGCTCCTCTCTGATGGATGTACTAACAAGCAACAAAATGGACAAATTGCTTGACAGGAGGCAGAGCCAGTGCTCCTAGAATTAGAGGGTTTGCATCGTTAGAACTAATTGAAAACAAGATTTTTTTCCCCCAATTTAAATTCCAGCTAGTTAACATACAGTGCAAAATTAGTTTCAGCTGTAGAATTTAGTGACTCAACATTTCCATACAGCACCCGGTGCTCATCACGACAGGTGCGCTCCTTCATCCCCATCACCTGTTTCTCCCTCCCCCCACCTCCCCATCAGTTGGTTCTTTCTAGTTAAGAGTCCGTTTCTCGGTTTACTTCTTTTCCCTGCTATGTTCATTTGTTTTATGTCGTAAATTCCACATATGAGTGAAATCATATAATTGTCTTTCTCTGACTGACTTATTTCCCTTAGCATTATACTTTCTAGCTCCATCCATGTTGTTGCAAATGGCAAGATTTCATTCTTTTTATGGCTGAGTAATATTTCATTGTATATATATACACCACTTTATCCATTCATCAGTCGGTGGACGCTTGGACTTCTTCCATAATTTGGCTATTGTTGATAATGCTGCTATAAATATCAGGGTGCATGTACCCCTTCAAATCTGTATTTTTGTATCCTTTGGGTAAATACCTAGTAGTGCGATTGCTAGATTGTAGGGTAGTTCTATTTTTAACTTTTTGAGGAACCTCTATACTGGAAAATAAGATTTTTTTAACTTGAAACTAATATTTATGTAAAATTTGAACATCCTCACAGAGAACTAATTTTATATTTAGTAGCTGAATAAACAGAAATAGTTTCATTCTGTTTTCAGACATGTGTCTGTATTTTTCTCGTTCTTTAAAAGGAAATCATTGGTGGGATGCTGGATATAGAACCAAGACTCTGGAGGAAAGGGATCCAGGAAAGCTTTGAGGATCAGAGGAAGAAAGCCCTGCAGTTTGCTCAGTGGTGGAAACCATTCGACTTCACCAAAAGTAAAAAATGTTGAGTCATACCTTTCATTTTTTAAATTTCTTCTTCAGATTCCTTTCAGTTTTATTTCCATTGTGTCTGACTAGACCACTGACCCTCAGGCCAGAGGAAGAGAAAGTCCCGCTCTGGGTCTCAGACACCCGGGCATCACTGGATCGCGTTTCCTGTCCTACCTTGTCCTGCGACTGCATTGTAGTAACTGGGGAACGAGACCAGATACAGGGGGGCCCCGCTCACATTCCCGTTCTGTACGTACGTCTTGGTGTTCTCGGCTGTGCAGTTTAAGATGTGGAAAGACTTTTCTGAAGGATTATCTGGGAGGTACAGCAGATCGTTGGTTCAGAGGGAAGTGGGTCTGCTTCAAGATTGTGAAGACTATTGTCTGGCTTCTCTTGAATATTTTAAACCGAATTGACCTTTCCAGTAATAATTGCAATTTCTTTTCATCGCATTTTATAGAAAGCCTCTTTATTTTCTACCCGTAGTCACTGCTCTTCTTTTTATCAAAGGAAAAAGAATGTCCCAAGAATAATAAAGAATTAAATGAAGCATAATGTGTTCATGATTTGTTTTTATTTCTGGATTTTTAAATAGTGTCTTTGAATTTTGGGAATTTTAAAAGTAATTGTTCCAAATAACACAAATTTATAGTTGTTTGGGGTTTTGAAAGTTGAGAATTTAAGCCAGGCCATCATTTTGGGGTTGTATTATTACAAAATTGTAAGTAACAAGAGTATTCTAAATGTCCAGAGCACATTCTGTTGCCCTGTATTTGATCTACACTTCTTCATTTTTCCTTTGTTCTTATGCTTGGTGTCAAGAGAAAGCCATATACTTATAAAATATGACCATGGTATAAGAGTGCGCCTATTTTTTTAATATGGAAGATATTTTTGTTGCAACCGTTTTTCAAAGATACTGGGTTTTGGAGCTGATCCTTGACATTTTGTCATGAAATGTTGATTACCTAGAATCAGTGTGGTGCATACTCCAGAGTAACTCTTAACTCTCTATAGTTCTTTTTAATATCGACATCTTGTTATTTCTTTGGTATGTTAAAAAATGTTTATGTTCTAGCTGTAGTTTTAAAATTTCACATGTAAATTGAAGTTTAATGGTTTCAATTTCTCAATATTTGCAAGTTGAATTTAATTATAATTATCAGATAGATACTTGCTAGTGTTTACTGCTGTTTTCAGATTCTTTGAGCTTTACTGCAGAGCCTTAGATGAATGTATAACATTTGTTTATTTAATCTGTGAGTTAACAGTTGTTTGCAGGGCATTTTGTTTTGTGCTGGTAGTGCAGAAATAAAAAGTACTTCCCCTACTTTAAATTATGTTCTAGTCTAGTGGAGAAGGAGACATGTACATAAATAATTATAGTACAAGAGAAGTTCTTCCCCCCCCTTTTTAATTTATTAATTAACGTAATGTATTATTTGTTTCAGGGGTACAGGTCTGTGATTCATCAGTCTTACACACTTCACAGGGCTCACCATAGCACATACCCTCGCCAGTGTCCATCACCCAGCCACCCCATCCCTCCCACCCCCCTCCCCTCCAGCAACCCTCAGTTTGTTTCCTGAGATTAAGAATCTCTTATGGTTTGTCTCCCTCTCTGGTTTCTTCTTGTTTCATTTTTTCCTCTCTTCGCTATGATCCTCTGCCTTGTTTCTCAATTTCCACGTATCAGTGAGATCATATGAAAATTTTCTTTCTTTGACTGACTTATTTCGCTTAGCATAATACCTTGTAGTTCCATCCACGTCATGGCAAATGGCAAGATTTCATTCTTTGATGGCTGCATAATACTCCATTGTAAATATGTGCCACATCTTCTTTATCCATTCATCTGTTGATGGACATCTGGGCCCTTTCCATAGTTTGGCTATTGTGGGCATTGCTGCTATAAACATTGGGGTGCAGGTGCCCCTTTGGATCACTACATGTGTATGGTCAACTAATCTTCGACAAAGCAGGAAAGAATAGCCAATGGAAAAAAAGACAGTCTCTTCAACAAACCGTGTTGGGAAAACTGGACAGCCACATGCAGAAGAATGAAACTGGACCATTTCCTTACACCATACACAAAAATAGACTCAAAATGGATGAAAGACCTCAGTGTGAGACAGGAATCCATCAAAATCTTAGACGAGAACATAGGCAGTAACCTCTTCAACATCGGCCACAGCAACTTCTTCCTAGACACATCGCCAAAGGCAAGGGAAGCAAGGGCAAAAATGAAGTATTGGGACTTCGTCAAGATAAAAAGCTTCTGCACAGCCAAGGAAACAGTCAACAAAACCAAAAGGCAACCAACAGAATGGGAGAAGATATTTGCAAATGACATAGCAGATAAAGGGCTAGTATCCAAAACCTATAAAGAACTTAGCAAACTCAATACCCAGGGAACAAATAATCCAGTCAAGAAATGGGCAGAAGACATGAACAGACATTTTTCCAAAGAAGACATCCAAATGGCCAACAGACCCATGAAAAAGTGCTCAACATCGCTCGTCATCAGGGAAATCCAAATCAAAACCTCAATGAGATACCACCTCACACCAGTCAGAATGGCTAAAATTAACAAGTCAGAAAACGACAGATTTGCAGGGATGCGGAGAAAGGGGAACCCTCCTACACTGTTGGTGGGAATGCAAGCTGGTGCAGCCACTCTGGAAAACAGTATGGAGGTTCCTCAAACAGTTGAAAATAGAGCTACCCTATGACCTAGCAATTGCGCTACTGGGTATTTGCCCCAAAGCATGAGAAGTTTCTAATGCGAGGTATGTGCCAAGTGTATTGGAGGTCAGTGCTGAGGGACTAGTTTACACTCCTCTCTTTCTGAGTTGGGGGACTTTGCTTCCTATTTTACTGAGAAAACAGAACCACATCAAGGAGATTTCCTCCCACGTCTCTGAGCATACCTGCATCTATACCTGTTTCTCTCCTTTTCCTCTGGAAATAAATTATTTTGTTGTTCTTATCTAGGTCTAATCCACTCATTTATGTTCTGGATTTCATCCATTCTCACCGACTCAGTTGGCCCTACTCTCCCTGTATTATTAGGTTTTTCCCTCTCTGGAAGATTATTCCTTTTAGCACACAGAAATATTTTATACCAACAAATCCTGACATCATATCCTCCCTAGCCATGTTTCTTCTCCACTCGACAGCACAACTCATTTCAATAATATCTGTGTCCTCTCCTTCTGTTCTCCTCCTGTTCTCAGTTAGACTTCATCCTCCCATTCTACTAAAACACCCTCCGTGACCCTTCCCCACGGGCACATCATGTGGTGACTGCTTAGTGTTCCCCTGGCTCTGTCAGCATCACTGACATCTGTAGACACTTCCTTGCTTCTAGAACACTGTCTCTTATTTCTCCTCCCTCCTTACTGGCGACCTCCTCCCAGTCCCCTTCGCTGGTTTCTCTTCATTTTCTCAGCCGCTAAGTGTTGAAATGCGCATCCTCAGTTCTTTTCTCTGTACACACACACACTCTCTCAAGGTAATGCCATCCTTAAAATGGTCTTAAATACCATTTTTAGGTTGGTTCATTTATTCAAGAAATACTTGTTTTCTGTATGCCAGTTCCTGTTCTGTGTGCAGGGAATACATTCATGAATAAAACAAGAATTCCTTCTTTGAGGAGTTTACATAGTATCAGGGAAGATAGACAGTAAACATTAGACATAATAAATAAATTATCCAGAAAATGTCAGAGGTGGTAAGTGCTATGGATAAAGGCAAAGTAGAACAAGACAAGTAAGATGTCTCCCAAATTGATGTCTTCATTTTGGACCTCTTCAGTGAACTCCAGAATCCTGTATCTAAATATCAAGTTGACCTCTACTGTATCTTATCTGAAAGAAGGATATGCAAACTGAATTTTCCTCCTGTTCCAGTTATTTATAACAACCACTTTATTGTATCTTGTGGTTTTATAGGTGAGGAATTTGATTAGGGCTTCGTGGGATGGTTTGTCTCTACCTCTGAGGTGTCTGAGGCCTCAGCTGGAGTGGCTCAGACATCTGGAGCTGACTGGTGACAGTGTGTGTAGGGCCTCTGTTCTTCGTATGGTGTGTGCTGGGGTTGGAGTAGTCGAAATGGTCCTTTGCTCAGATTCCAGTCTGGTGCCTGGACTGGAATCACTGAAACCGCTCGGGACAGGCTGCTGACACTCTCTTCTTGTACAGCAATTTCAGTGTAGTTGGGCTTACTATATGGGTTCTGATTTCTGTCCCAAAGGATGCTTCCCAGACAGAAGAGGTGGAAGGTGCCACTGTCTTAGGGCCTGGGACCAGAAATGAGCACAGCTTTGTTTTGCTGAATTTTGTTTGTCATAGCTGTCACAGAGCCCATCTGCCTTCCAAAAGAGGGGTCCTAACTCTACCTCTTGATGGGAGTAGTGTGGCCATGTGTAATCCACCACAGTCTACCCTCTGGCCACAGATTTATACTTCTCTCACAATAAAAATGTATTCAAATCCTCCCAAGAAAGTCTCATCCCAGTAGGACACTAGGCTTAGGCTTGAGATTCAGGATCCCATCTACCGAAGGCTCAGACAGAGATGAGGCTCCTTAGGTGCTTCAATCTGAAGATGTGTGAATTTAAGAGACAAATGATCTGCATCCCCTACACCCCCACCCCCCGCAAACATACAATAGTAAGAGAAGCAGACAGTAACTGTGGTAGGCACATTCATTGAAAAAGATGGAAAATTTGAGGCACGTTGCAGTCACTGTTGATTAGTTCTAAAATTAGGTCACACATAGGTTGCCAGGCTTGATGGGGGCTGTGATTCTGCTTCTTGGAGGGGATTCCACGAGGCCTTTTGCTCTGCCCTGTGTACTCTTGGTTCAACGCTGAGTCAGCCTTTCTTTTTCATGAAGAGCTGAAAACTGATGATTCTAGCCAAGACGAAGTAACCACATTATCTTCCTGCCTCAAGTGACCAGAAAATAGACAATATACATGAAACAATGGTTTTTTAAGACCTGGTTATCAGGCATGAAAGTATAATGATCCCAAAGTGACGGGAAGCAAGTGAGATGAGCACTTTGATTGCCTTATCCTGTTGCTCCGGGAGAGATCTCATCTTACGGTACAAGGTGTGGGAATCCAGGCAGAGCTTATGGAACCAGCCATGTTGAGGAAATAAAGCTGTGAGTCTGGGGGGACCAAGACAGTAGGGCAGGCTACAAGAGGAGATCACGTGCATGCGTGGAGGCTACCCGAGGCCGGGCAAAGACTGATGTACCCGAGAGGATTAGAAGTCACATCCCCACTAGCAGGAACAGGGTTTCAAGGCTGACCAGGAAGTGCGAGTACCCAGAGTGGTATTGTGTAATGTAGAATAATTATCTCAAGCCTTAGCACTAACCTGGCCTTGACAAACAGATCTTAAACACAAGAGGCAGAAGGATCAAGCTGTTTCCAAGTAACTTAACTTCCTGCATCCGGAACAAAGCTCAAATTAAAGATATTTTATCATGTGAAGAAAAACAGTGTGGGGTTTATAACATATGTAAAGACAAAGTAAATGACAGTAATATAGCA